TTGTATCTGTTTATTTAGAAATATGGTGCCAGCTGCAAACTTTTCAAATGAAAAGAAATTTTGCTGGCAGAAAATTGTCTTGTCAGTGAAAAATAGAGTAACTGAACATCAGTAAAAAGAAACAATCATTAATAAATTTTGTTTTGTTTTGTTTGAAACAGCTGCCAAGCATGGAGCCTACTTGTACACCCAACAGCGTGCATGTGCACACACATTTTGTTATGGTCAAGATTTACGGTCCTGGAGGCAACAAAATATCCGATTTAGTGCAGTTAGTCAGGGGAGAGGAAACTTTTAGTGAGCTGTTTTCAAGAAGTTTGCCTACAGATCCTAATAACAATTACAGATCGCATATGACCCATGTCTACATCAGCCAAGATGCAATGATGAAGGACTGTAGTGCTAGTAGTGGTACCAAAGTTGACCTCCACCATCCAGTAAGTGCTGCCATAACTTTCAACTGTAGGCACATTACATACTATGTACAGACAGATCCAGGGGAGAAGTCATCCAGCAGTGGAAACAAGAAAAGTGCCTTTGATATTCTCATGAGTGCGCAAAGGGACAACACCCACCTACCCCCGAAGAAGGATAAAGAAAAGTTGATAGCCACAGAGCAGTTATTCAATGATGTTATTGACTATATGAGCGATGCTGGGGTAGGGTTCCTGAAGGACGACATACATGTAGGGACACGTGTAGCGAGTCATCTTAGGGATGCATTATGGCATCTCGATCCCCACCATGAAAAGTTCAAAGCAAGGGGAATTGCCATCCCCTTGCCATTTCAAGGTTTCAAAGGGCGTAACAAATGGAAGGAAAACAAACATCAACAGCCCTGTCTCACTAAAGAAAGCCTGAGCAGTCACATTGAAAAACTATCAAACTTGCTTTTGCTACCAGTTGTTCAGTCTAGCAGAAACAAGAAGTTTGTACAGGATGTGTCAAGATTGTGTGAAGCAATGGTGCAGTATAGGACTTACCTACAGAAGGCTAGTGAGAAGGTTTCACAATGCAGGGTCTCAACTGAACCAGTGCGAAATCCTGACGTGGATGCAGAGGTGAGGACATTGCGTGCCTCCAGTACATGCGGCAAGGAGTACCAGGCTCTGCAGAAATGCCTAGACAACACCACTACTTACCAGCCCATTAACATATCAGAATTTGCTCCAGTAGACAGGTTTGAAAGAAGAAAGTTCATTGCTAATCTCCAAGTAACTCATGATGTGGCAATGTACACGATGCCATATGGCAATTATCTTGGGACAGTAACACTACTGTGGAGAGTCGAAAGGGAAAGACATGATCATGAATCACGGAATGCCTCTGTCATTATGAATGTAGCAAAACGATTGCCCATCTATTCAACAAGGGAGATGAGGAGGTCTTTCATCTCAAAGTATAGCAACAAAGCAAATCTCAAACCCATGGTTCTTAGGACTTTATACAAAGATCTAACCCAAGATTCGGCTGCAGCTGAAAGCTATGACGAAGAAATGATAGACGACAGAGTCAAACAGTTCTTCTTGGAGACAGAGGAAACTGACATTTTGGTTGACCTACGGAAGTGCAATGGGTGGGGTCGTGTGGCGCAGTCGGTAGCGCGTTCGGCTCACACCCCAGAGGTTGTGGGTTCGAACCCTGCCCATGTCACCGATCTTGTGCCCTTGGGAAAGGCACTTTACACAACTTTCCTCACTTCACTCAGGTGAAAATGAGTACCTAGCTTCGGTTAGGGACGTCCCTCGGATAGGACGTTAAATGGAGGTCCCGTGTTTGGGAGAGCCACACCCCATGCACGTTAAAGAACCCACCGCACTTATCGAAAAGAGTAGGGGATCTTCCCGGTGTGAGTGGTTCAAAACTTACAGTCCGGTCTTACGCAGCTTGTACATGTGCGCACATGTACAAAACTGGTGTGTTACGCCTGAAGGCGGTTTACCGGTTATGCGAAACAAACAAACAAAAACAAACAAATGGTAACCCAGGAAGCACAATCTTTCAGCCCTTCTGGGATGAAACTGCCAAGCTACTAGAAGAAGCTAGTCAAGTAAATGAAAGAAGACATGTTCAAGAATACATGTACTTACCTTTTGTGATATCTATTGAAGACCTGAAAGGAAAGTTAAAGCAAGGATGCCACCAGGGTCAGCCATTCCTTCAGCTGAGTGGATACGGTTGCAGTTCTGGCCTACCAACCCTTACACTAACAGAGCTGTGAGGCACACATTTAGGTTTGATGTAAAGTATGCAGTCCAGTCAAGAGTACTCAGGTTGGAACACGAGGATGCAAAGTATGCAGCAACACAATTCAAATACATGAAGGAGTTTGCATGCAAGTACAGAGAGCACACAAAAATGATCTGTCTGGACGACAAAGCCATAGTTCCGGTAGGAGAGCCAGAGCATGCTGTATCAAGTGGTGTCAGAGGACATAACAAATCATTAGTTCCAGTGGGATCTACATTGGTTGCCCTTGACCATGATTGGCACGTTGCCGGCGTGATCCCTTCTGTTGTCTTGATCAACCAAGTCCCTGAAAGTACCGATGGATCCTTCCACAGGGGACGGGTATTTGTGACCACAAAAGAGAAGGTGTTTCAACCTTCAACTCCAGCAAGGCATGCGACAGAAGTATGTAACATACTGCGCTCATGTGCAAGCTCAGATGATGTTAACCTACACTGCCCAATACTCTTGGTTTACACTGATGGTGGTCCGGACCATAGAGTTACATACCTAACAGTCAAACTGTCCTACATAGCACTGTTCATTGCTTTGGACCTTGACGTATTAATCGCGGCTAGATGTGCACCAAATGCGAGTTGGATGAATCCTGCTGAAAGAGTCATGTCAGTGCTCAATCTTGCCCTACAAAATGTCTCCATCGCAAGAGAGAAGATGGCTGATCAGTTTGAGGCAAGAGTGAAGGGAAAGTCTGATCTCAAGAGTCTACGGCAGGTAGCTGAGACATGCCCTGGCTTTCAGGAAGCCTTTCAAACTGCACTGCAACCTGTGAAATAACTGGTCAATGAAAGATTCAGAAGGGTGCAGTTGAAGGGAGAGGGGATTGAGACGCATCAAGCAGCATCAGATGAACAGATCAAAGAAATCATGAATGTCCTGTCTATCATTGACAGTGACCTGACAGGCCACAGTGCAATGTCAATGCAAACAAAGGACTTGGCAAAGTATGGAAAGTTGTCTGACTTTCTGAAGACACATACAAAACAAACACACTATACATTTCAAGTCAAGAAGTGCACTGAATCAGACTGCTTTGTCTGCAACCTATGCCCACCACGACTACCAGCTGATGTCTTCGAGACCATGGCCTTTCTACCGGATCCAACCCTGGATATTTCCCGAGAGCACTACAAGTGAGAGTAACTTCAATATATATGTCACGTGTCATATGTTACAGTGACTCAAAAACAAAAAGTCAGTTGTTACACCCTGTTGGTAATACTGGTCTTTTTGATACTGTACATTCATGCTCCAAAGTTCATTTTATGCCATATGAAAATGACAATAGCTTTCAATTTTTTGCCTATATCTGTAGGGAGTTTGCTGAAGTGTATGGGTGCTGTACAAGTGAAGAGGACAGGCCATCTCTCAAAGCCCCAAATGAGAAGAATGAGACAGACAAGAAAAGGAGGAGTCTCCTAGTAGCTGGAAAGGTTCGGATGGCTATCAGGTACTAGTAAAAGGCTTTATCAATGGGACAGGGTACCCATTTCATAGTTAAGTTTGTTACATCTGGCGTACATTTATTGTGTATGTGTTGTTCTTTGAGTTACCTTGGTTGAGAAAGTCACTGCGCTGCCTTGTGATGGCAAACTCTATGACATTCTTGGTTGATACATTGTAAAGAAAAGTTCTTTTTGGTCTTTTCATCTGTAGTTGTGCGTTGTGCTTGAAACCAAGATGCGTATACAGTCAATGTAAACTGAAGAGAGAAGAGGAGGGAGCGGTACGGCGGTTGAAGAGCAGCAAAGTGTATACGTGTGGCAACAATCTGTTTGAAGAAGGAGGGAGGTAAGGAATGAAGCTCATTTTCAATCATAGTTTTTGTCATTTAAAACAGTTTCTATAGTTACTGCTTTCATTTTTGTCTCAATGAGTAAAACATTTCTCTAGAAAGATGTTCCTGTAATATTTTTTCTTGAAGAAAATGGATGCTTCGTATTGATGTTTGAATCAAAGATCTTAAAACAATTTATTAGTAGCAAACTGTACTGTTTGTGTTCTTTTTCTTAGGTACCATGACACCATTGTGGCAAGGGTTGCTGTGAACTGCACATCCCCAGTAGAAGCCACATACTACAGCAGCACACTTGTGTCATTCCCTGCATGTTGCTTCCACTGTGGAACTGTGGACAACTTGCTGGGACCAGAGGATCCTACCATAGCCACTCTAAGACAGCAGTATGCTGTTGTAAGGCCCATTTGCTTAGAATGTTTCAATGATGGAAAGGCACCTAAGACATGGGGGGCCCAAAATATGAGAAAGAAAAGAAAGGTGTAAAGTTCACCAAGTACTTGGAACAGTTACTATCATTTCAGTTCAGTTTTGTTATGCTATTACCTGACAGCTAAGTATTTCTGCTGCAGTCATTACTGTATTAAAGTTCCTCCCACCACTGTATGATGTTACAGAACTATGTGCCACCTAGCAGTTAAAGTTAGTCTGTTTTGTGTCTGTTGCAGGGTGAGTGAAGCAGATAATCTACTATCCAGTAACAATGTGTTGGAAGGGGCGTAAAACTGATAGTGCAAATTCCAATGCCTTGTCATTGATGTCATTGAGTAGCAAATGCTATGTGGACCACGGTGTTGACATATGTTATGTTTTCCTTACTCTTGGGAGTTGGGACGCAACAAAAGACAAGAGAGTATGTACTGTATTTTGTTTTATTTGCTATCCATACCAGTTAAAATCAGTATTTTTTGTTTGGTTGCCTCACCAAGTACATGTACAAGTATTGCAGGTGTAAGTCCAAAATGCACCAGGTGCAATCTGATTAGATACTGTTAAATTTTGAAAAGAGGAATAAAAGTTGAAACTACTTGAATTCCGGAGTCTTGTCAGTTTGTTAGTCATACAGTAAAGATGTGTAACTTGCAAAATGTTACGAATAATTGTAAAGGGATGTAACAGAAGTTGATCATATAGTAATGGTCCTTCCAGTTCAATAAGTGTCCAATGTACCCTATACTAGCATTTTGTAACTTAATAAGCACTCTGGATTGCTTACTAAATGGCTGTATGGCAGGTAGTCTCAAATTTTTATTTTTATTTTTATTTCGCCCGCCCGCTCCATTATTTTTCTAGAAAAATCCGTTAACCAAGAAAATAAATTGGTGTGGCCTAATGGTAGTGTATTAACAGATGTTCAATAGTGTGTTTTTCATTACAATTGTTACATTTGTTACTTTGTACCGTTTTCACTTTTTTTAGCCAGTTGTTTGTAGCAAGGTACCGATGAATAATCTTAAAATGAAAGCATTGTAACTTTGTATCTTTTGTTCTTGTAAAAGTAGCAGATAGATATATGCAAATCAACATAATCACTTAACAACTAAACCTAGACGCAACCCGTAATGTAATGCCCAAGAAGACACCAACACAGAACAACGAGTGCATGGACAGCCGAGAACTTTAAGCATGTATAACAACACGTGATTGAGGTCAGATGGAGAGCCATCATATGCATGACTAATCCATACACGAAGAAGAGATATCGCGTGTACTTCCCTCCTGAAGTCGCTTTTGTGATGCATGTTTTATATTCTAGATAATCATGATTGCCAGTTGAACAATTTGTTCAACTTGCAATGACATCTCAATTTATATACTGCAAGTGTACAGTTTCTTTTCTTCTAAATGTGAGTTCTATTCTCGATAGACGCGTGGCTGAACCAAAAGAGAGGATACGGGTGGTCTATGGTTTCTCTTAGCCAGTGTCTGATGTTGTACTAAGTTCGGAGTCGAGTGAATAAATCTCCCGGTGGTGAGATCGAATCCTGTGGCCATGTGTTATTTCTTATAGTCTTGTTACCGTAGTAAGAGTACGGGAAACGCGTTGGACTAGAACTAACTGTAAATCCTACTAGACCACCAAAGAACGCATCAAAAAGACTGTTATAGTTGAACCATGTAAGTGACATTCTAGAAGATAACGACTTTGGGCGATTCTGGACAAGTCCAGGGTCGTACCAAGCTAATAGTTCCGTGACAACTAGCTGGCCCACATAACAATGTCTTTTTTTTTGTTAGTATATGATGAAGACAACCACCACTGGGCAAAGCTCGGAAGAGCAGTTGTTGCAGTTTCAGGAAATATACTGAACTGCACCCGTTGCAAAATCACACGGGGCTGCATCCACAAGGAGATAGTCAGGTGACTCATTGACATTTCACAGTCACCCGGCCAACATCCCCTGGTCCAGAGAGTCCGACATACACACCCAGATCACCGTCGTCGCTCCAGTACAACAGCAAATACTGGTAACGTTAAATAAAATAGTATGCGCCACACTCACGTGTATGCCTGTTCATTTCCTATTATTATCGCGCTGCGGGTCAGGGTATGTACAAATAAAATCTTCTACATACCCTATGTACCTATTCNTTCCATTCAATCTGCAGTATGTAGTTATTGGCATATTCTTATATGGGTATTGTCTTGTGTCTGGACTTGTGAACAATATGTTTATCGTCTACCAGTATGTTTGATAAGATCTTTGCTGATTTTGTAATCTAATGCATTTTGTATAAGTGATGTATCAGCATGTACATTTGTATATCCTTTTTTTTCTGTAGAAAATTTTAGTGTTGGAAATTTTCCAACCATGCCTATAGATGTGCATTACATGCCTAAGGTTTGGATCTTATTGCCTGTGCTCCAGGCGTGTGGATGGATTGAAACTGGGAGAAAAGTCCCCCTGAAGTACATTCAAGCAAATCTGCTGAAAAAGCAAGTACAACAAGGCTTAATCAGGCCTGTTAAAGAGTGTGACAAGATGGATTTAAGAACTGTAACAGACCAACTGATAGCCATTAATGAGAATGACGAGTCACTGACACTGAAAGAAAAACAGGAGAAGTTAGCAAAGCTAAGAAGTACGAGGTACTTAATGTAGGTGGCATGACCACAGCACCCTTCTCAACTCCGGATACTTGATGGGCACTATACACACCCTCTATGATACAGCAGTATATTGCACACAAGAAGAAATGAAAGAGCAAGGAAAATACATCAACATCCAGAGTCTTGTTGAAAAAACAGAGCTGTACTTGCTGGCACGGTGCAAATCAACAATTGCCGAACAGTTAAGATATTCAAGCTGTCAAAGGAAAGACATCAAAACCATGCAAGATGTGGAGTATGAAGACCATTGTACGTCTGATGTCATGCCTATCTTCACAGGGGATAGTCCTGCAGAATGGCTTGAAGTGGGAGAACAACATCAGGGTCTATATGGCTGTTCTGCTGGTTGTGGTGCGCCTATCGAAAGGTTCTGTGATCTAGGATTTTGCATGCGGCGGCCTGTAAAGTCAATGGAAGACAGAAGGCTACTAGTAGGGTCCCTGCCAGCAGGACGAAAGGGAGGAATTGCGCCGTTCAACTCCCTGAAGAAACAAGACCTCATCAGGAACCTGGGTGCAACAAACATTGACTTTGATCTGGAGTGCAACAAACCTGGACTAGAAAAGCAGTTAAGAGAACATCTAGCAGGTGTATCAAATGTCCCAGCCCTCCAGTATGGTGACCAACACAGAACTGTAGATGAGCTAAATCTTGGACAGTATGAAATCGCCCCATGCGAGGCCCTGCACAATTCAAAGGAACATATTAAGAACATTTTAGAAGAGTTACCTAATCATCTATGTGGCAAAGATAAGGCAGCAATGAAGGAGGTGGCTGCAATGTTCCAGGGCAAAGAAATGCAAAGGGGAGTCGATTACCGTAAACACTTACTAACAGTAACAGTCAAAATGGCAACACAAGATGGTAACCCGAAGGCTATAGCACTGCTAGAATCTTTATGCAACATCACCCACATCCTGTACCTTGGTGAACAGGACAGGACAAATCAGCAGATTTTGAGACTGGCAAACCAGACGTATCTTCATGGTATCCTTGTCAGAGAAGTCATTGGCACAGAAACAAAATCGATCACAAAGAGAAAGCTGTACGGCCAGTATTGGCATTCGCTAACAACCCATGCACCAATGTTATACAGAATAGTTAACCTCAAGTCGGTGAATGCTGAGAACCAGGAACGGATGTTCGACAGTCTGAAGGGTATTCTCGGCCAAACATCATCACGCAGGCCGAGCGAAGTGGTCGGGATGGGGGTCTTAAGGCTACAAGCTGAGCAAACACGCAACACCGACAACTTGTCAAAGGATGAAAGTCAAGTATCTACCCTGGGGAAAAACTTGCGTGTGATTGTGATGACTTCTTCACTTAGGCTTTAAAGTGCTGAGGAACACAATTTCTTGTAAATATGACTAGGTACCAATGGAGAGTTAGCCTAATAGTTATAATTCAGAAGCATGGGAAGTTAGTAAATGTGTAATGCTAGATAGAAAAATCCATTTGTGATGTTTACTACAGGGCTTGACATCCTTTTTTCAGGTATGTGCCAAATTGCATGGCAAAAATTTTACGTACAAATTTGCAAAGTTATGCTGAGTTGGTTTGCCACCGCTTGGACCAATGGGCGGGATAGAAACATCTTAGAAGTTCGGTTGGGTAGGGGGCCTGGCATCCCCCTCCTGTAGACCTGTCCAAATGCCACCTTTGACCACTGGGCGGGATAGAAAAACAGTTGGGTTGGGTAAGGGGGCTGGCATCCCCCTCCTGTAGAACTGTCCCTAATGCCACCGCTTTTGTAATTATGATCAGACTCCGAGTGTAAATCTCACAAATGCATTTTCCTAAAGGTAAACTAAGAAATCTGCTAAAAACGTCATAAACCTACATTTTCAATTTTGGTTAACTATAGCGGTTGCGTGGCCAGGAATGCAGTGACCTGCCCTGATGGACATCCGTTCTGTCGTTCCAGTATCCATACCTGGCTGAAGCATCGAAGGACATGCCCTATAAGTAGGGCTCCACTGAGGGCACATCAGTTGAACGTGGCAAGATACTTGGACACGATTGGGGTTTTGGAAACACCACTTTCTGTTAACAATATATGTTTTCATATGATAGGGGTTTTGGAAACACCACTTTTTGTGAATAATATGTTTTCATATGATAGGGGTTTTGGAAACATCACTTTTGTAAACAATATATGTTTTAGAATTATATGTATTTAAGATATATATATTGTTTTGAAAAATGTATATATATTTTCTTCTTAAGCATGTGTTTTACATATTGTATGTATTTACTATACATATATTGTTTTGAAAAGTATATATATGTATTCTTATTAAACATATATGTTTTACAATTGTATGTATTTTACATATATATATCGTATTTTTGACAGTGTTCCTGCTTCGTAATTTTGTTCCCAATTACAGTCTAGGAAATGAATAAGGGTAGATAATTAGGTAGGGAGTAATCCATCAGAGATAGAGAGTGTATGAGTAAGTGATCAGAAAAGAAACATGGCAGGAGAGTTTTGAGAATGTAATTTCAATGGTTAGAAAGATTGAACTTATTGTTATTAAAGTTGCATTAGCTTGTTACATAAACTTGCATGATATAATTTTCACTGGGAAGCATTCAGGATATCAGTTAGGGTTAAGGTTACGTAATGTGGATATGATAGCCTCAAGGATGGCAATAAAGGTTAATGACCCTT